CCAGAGCCTTCTATCTGCATCCGAGACGCATTCCTCTGTGTAATCTTGAGGACACCAACGTGTGGTTCACCAATGAGCCGATAGGGATCAACTACCTCGGCAATATGCTTAAAGAATATTTGCGAAGAGGTAGCTAACACATTTTATTTATTACATAGTTTTCCAGCCTATTAATTAATTTTAGGGATGTTCCGATCAGGATTTATGCAGCCAATACTGAGTACCGATTTCTTGTCATGGTGATCGGCCGATACCAATGCCGATTCTGATGCTTCAAGCTTTATATAGACGGTTTCAATGGGCGCACGCGCCTGGCTCGAAGTTAACTTCCGGTCTGTGTTTGTTTATCAGTCTGGCTATGGCACCGGCTACAAACGCAGTTGAAGTTAAGGTGATGAGTAGACTGTTGGGGCTCAGGTGGTTGTGCTGTGGGATGTGTTTCCCATATATTTATTTATTTGTGGCGCTCACCACAATATCAAAACTGACAGATTTTCCAAAAGGCTTCGTTGAATAAACATGAGCACGTACTGCACGTTTAAAAATCAAAACGAGGTGCGGGTGTTTTTATATCACTCTATTTCTGAAGGAAGACTATCTTTAGAAAATGTTCGATGTCATTTTCATTTAATCTTGCATGTTATATGCCTGATAAAGCAGCGTTTGTGAGCTCAGCGCTGCTTTGTGTACAGCTGTTACTGGGGAAACCTCTGTTTTTGTTCCATCCTCCACGCTGTGACAACTCACAAAAGACTATTTTTAACCAAGCAGAGCGGAGAGCCGCTTCAGAAACGTGCCGCGGCTGGCTGATAAACACAAGCACTGACTAGAGCGGCCGCGATCAGCTCCGATGGCCGTGGAGCCGTAACGCGCCGCAGACGCGTGCAGTGAGGCGCAGATCAGCTCTAACGTCACTGAATCTGCTGTTCAAAATTAACCATCTATTCATTATATCATCATGCAAAACAACAAACAGCTAATTTTTCATTGTTTCTCGAAACGTCATAACATTTCCACACCGGTGATGACATGACTGCGGCGTCAAATCATTTATGTCCACACACATCATGTAGGTCGTCACGCATTGACGTCATCAAATTGCGATCAGTTCCTGAGATCGGCCAAGTTGGTGAGTACCGATCGAGTCATGAAATATGATTATCTGCCGATACCGATCTCCGGCCGATCGATCGGAGCATCCCTAATTAATTTATTTTGTGGTTATAATATTTTCCAAATCTAAATTGCATGCTTGAAATTCGTTTTTCAGGTGGAAGGTATCTCTCTAACATTTACACAAACCATAGTCTAGGGAGCACTGCTGTTGGTCGCCTATCTGACGCAGTACTGGAAAGTCGGTCAGTGACAGGCTACCGATGCAAGGCTTGCGGTCTGACTGGGCCCCATCGTTGTCTGACAGGAGAGCATGGAGCAAGATTCGGACATCTCGAGCCTCAACAAGCAAGGAAAAACACTGTGCTCACACATCCATCCTCCTCCAAGCTTAAACCTGAAACCCTACCATGTTCCATGTTTAATTTCACAATTAATGTAAATGTAGAGTTCAACATTCATTAGCATCGATCGACATTAAATAACTGAAGAAAACAGTTTTAACATTTTATTTACTTTTATTGCATTTCAATAGGCTAAGTGAAATGTTATAGCACTATTTCTGTCTTTATTTATAAGTATATAAACTACGCTAAGATGCCGAAAGCACACGATCTCTCTCTCTGTCCTAGAAAAATTTTCAAATGGTTAAAACATTTTTTTCCTGATTTTATCTGATTTCAATAAATATAATGTTAAAGCACTATTTCATTTGTCTATATTTATACTTGAAGTAAACTAGATTCAAACTAAAACTACGAGTACAATACTAAAATATCTTAAATTCTTCACTTTCAAATGTTAAAATTTTGTCAGAATATTAGTGAAATAACATGTCCACAATAATGTCAGAAATTATACGAATTTGAATTAAGTTTGTTCAGCCATTTGTTTATTTTAATATTACATTACATTCAATTTAATTACTTATTAGTAGGGCTGAACGATTATGACAAAAATCATAATTGTCGATTATTCCCTTGAAATTGTAATTGCGATTATTAATTACGATTATCACAATTTAAATTGAATGATGTTTTTACCATTGTTTGATGCAACTGCTTGCCATATTTTTATTTGAAAATAAACAAGCTGAAAACACTAACTGAAAAACTTTGTGCTTTTCTATAGTATTAAGCCTCAAAAGACAACTATACATCGGATTGGTTTCTTCTTTAAATTATTAAAAAAGTAAAAATATGATGGTATTATAGTGTTATACTAAAATTAAAACAATTGAAAACCCTTAACATGTAGAAAGAAATAAAAGCATCTTAAGCACACAGAATAACATAAATTAAGCGTTAGCTCTGGCAGGTCACGTGCGTCAAGCTTGCATCAGCTGATTCTCAGCTGATCACATCTACCTATAGGAATACGACACCTATCGCGGCATTCCTATATAAGCTCTATTATCGCGATTAGAAATTCGATTAATTGTACAGCCCTACTTACTAGCTTTTCATCTTGCAGTTTCCTTGTGAATATCAGACTGCTAAAGGCCATGATTGACTAATCAGAATCATATATTCCAGAGAGTCATGTAATAAATACATCAAATGTATATAATGATCTATACACACGTGTGAGAATGGCGTAGCAGCACCGCTAGACTGCTGATGCCTTTGGATTGCACACGTCTCAAATCCTGCTCCACACGCTGAAGATTCAATTCTTGCCACACCTCCAGACTTTCTCCTGTACTGCCTGAGTGAGAAAGAGATTCCATGCAGATGACATTCCTGATACTTTTCTGTGGTTGTATAAACCAATAAAACTTTCATACGACATAAACATAAAATGTTAGTCAATGTTTTAATTGCAATTTTACAATCTCTCCCTGTCTGACAATAAGAATTAAACAGACCATTTCTGTTACTATGCCTTTGGGATGTCTAGAAGTAAAAATATTTTTTTGTAATAGATTGAATTTTATATAGAATACATAAAGTCCTTTATTGCAAAATATCAAGAAAATCTTAATCACCTTTTACTATTCGTTTGGGCTCATTTCTGTGTAGCTGACAGGAATCTTGTCTGAGAATAACCCTCTCCTCCACTTCAATCACCTCCTCATACAGAACCTCCGGCATACACAACTCCTAAAACAACAAACACTTTAATACAAACAACAACAAGACACTTGATTATCTAGGTCTTTCATCAAAGCAACTTGTGAAATGGAAACAGGAATCATGGCAGACAGGGTTCCTGCAGGTTTGTTTGGGATGGCTAGTTACTAGTTAATATAGTTACCGTATTGGCCCGAATATAAGATGATCCTGATTATAAGACGACCCCCCTTTTTCCAGATGTACCTTTTGGAAAAAGGCTTTTTAAAAACCAAATCTTGTTTTTTCTCAGTAAAACACATTTTGTCTTCAATTATTTTCATATTTTTCCTATTTTAATTTTTGTTTTGGAAGTATGGAAAAAACTGGAAAAATGTAGAACCAATCACATAAAAAAAAATATACACTTTTTGATATACCATTAAAAAAAAAAAAACAGGTAGCCCATCTGAATTAGGACATTTAGGCTATCCATCTAATAGTAGCCTACCAAAATCTTAAATCTTACTGTAGTCTTTAAATCTGGGTACTGTCTTACGTTTTAAAATCACAAAGGGAGTTTGGTCCCATCAGGCTAACGTGACAGTCTCGACTATTTTTACATGTCACGACTTCTTTTTCTTTTGTTTTTATTCACGATCTTTACAACACGCATTACATTACGTATTTCATAGCACACTTGTTTTATGCGTATTTGGCGCCACCTATTGTTGTGGGTGTATTATTGACATGTCAAAGTCTAGACCCTGAATATAAGACGACCGCGTTTTTTCAGATGTGTTTCCAAGAAGAAAACATCGTCTTATATTCGAGTCAATAAGGTAGTTTGTATTGTTCAATAATTGACTTTATAATACCAAAAACTGCAATTTGTAAAAATAACCTACAGTACATATTATTTAAATATGGTCCTCAGGAGGTCCACACTCACATGCACAAACAACCCCGCTCTTACTATATAATTATCGTCTTGAGTCAAACATACTTAAAGGCACAATATGTAATTTTTCGCCACTGGAGACCGTGTATTCAAAATAAACAAATAGACAAAGGCATAGTTTGATGACGCCGTGACTGAGTGTGGAATCATGGGAGCTGTCGTCTTTATTCCCACAACCAATGCAATCCGGGCAGAACTCGGCCAGAAATCATGTTCATGGATGAACTAATGATTTATTAACGTAGTAGAATGAAGCAGGGTGAGGCTGAAAGCCATCGAAGCGAAACGAGGCGCTGAACGAGCGTGACACACGGCTCGAAAGCAGCGGAGCTTTTATTATCCCACAGTCGACCGCTTCCGCTCCTTCCGGTCGTGAGTATGTGGGGGGGGAAAAGCAGTGCTGTTTTATCATACTAGATACGTTTGAAAGTTCTGTTATAATGCTACTCTGTGTGGTCGTCAACGGTCTATTAAAACACACAACATATTAAAGCGTCTTTGGTGTTTCCATGTTTTCTACAAAACAAAAAAGGAAATCGAGGGGTTAGGACGTCATTGGCAGGCGACACAATGACACTATGGACACGGTCCGTGTAACTAGTTAAAATTGCTTATTTCTCTGGATTTAAACATTCTTCGAAACATTTGGGATAATGTAAGTACACAAGTCAGCTAAATATATAACACTGTTCTAGTGGTTTTTGGATATTTTAATTAAAAAAAATCTTACATATTGTGCCTTTAAGACCTCTCATTTGTGAACAAAATGACTGAGAATCTGATCACCAACTGATCTCCAAATGGTTCGGAATGAATCTTTTTAGTGAACAGAATTGAAAGTTACTGGGATGAGTCTACATCATCAGCACTACTCACCAGATCTCGAGCAAAGCTCTGCCCCGTCTCCTGTTCAATTCATAAACCCAACAAACAGACTTTCATGAGATACTTGGGCAGACTTCTGTTCACTACATTCTTATCTTCTATCATTCCCAGATCAAATCCATAACCACAAACTTAACTCTTCCCAATAAGCATCCAAGTCCAAATATATTCATGTCTTCCTCCTCACCTCCTCCAGTACTCGGCGGATGCCCTCAGTAGGAGCGTCTCTGTAGTTCTGGGGGTCATGTGACAACAGTTTTAGGACTCTCTCCCTACCATCGGGCAAACAGGCGAACACATCTGTGAAGGTTCCTCCCCGATCAATCGCAAAATCAAACTTCCCTTTAGTTTCAGCCATGCTGGGAAACAGACTGTCACTGCAATGGGCATTCACAAAGGTTTATTTTTATTTTTTTTAAGACGACTCACCAAGCTCACCAAGGCTATTTTGTGGAAACCGTGATACATCAAAAGAGCAGCATTTATTTGAAATATATAACATTATAAATGTCCTCTTTACTGTCACTTTTTTTAATCAATTTAACGAGTCCATGCTAAATAAAAGTATCATTATTATTTAGTTGATTTTACTTACCCCAAAACTTTTAAATGGTAGGATGAAAATCTGTCTTCAATTACTAATTCTCATGTCATTCCAAATATGCATGATTTTCTTTCTTTTGTGAAAGAAGACATCTTGAAAATGTCTAGGTGTTTTTTTTTTTTAACCATACAATGAAATTGAAAGGGGTCCAATACTGTTTGGAACCTAACTGTCTTTCATTTTCTGGACAGAAACATTCTTCAAAATATATTCTTTTGTGTTCCACAGAAGAAAGCAAGCTTTTTATTGGAGTTTTTTTTTTTTGAAGTGATGATAATAAACGTTCATCCAAAGCAAATGCTTTAAAGGGTAAGTAAGTAACGTTAAGTGAGAGAGATTCTTCCATCTCAAAATGAAAGAATGTTTGGAACGATCATTTCCAGTTAGAACGTACTTGAAAATAATTAATCAATAGGTATAACAGTTATGCTGCAGACGTGCAACGAATCTATGATAAATTTAAAAAAAAAAAGCGTGTGAAAAAAATAAAGGGCAGCAACAATCCCTTAAACCTTAACTGGGTTAAATATCACTGACTGACTACATAATACATGTTGCAAAGTTTCTGTCATTATAAGCATTGCACGCATCCCCTGTTCGACAATTACAACATTAGTATGTCCTGTTGTACTTACACTTGAGACGCTGTGAAACAAGAAATGAACAGACACCTCTTCTATTGTCGCTCTGTCTACCACTACCGTGGTGAAGCGTCACTTCACCAATTCCGAAGCAACTTTCAAGTGAAGTTCAGCACCACCTCTGCTACACCGCCCCCGCCTTCTGAGATATCACGTGACTATGCCCGCGCCACAGGGGGCACGTCACACGCGTGATTGCGTAAAAACCCGAATCCTTCGTTGAGCCTCCTTAAAGGGATAGTTCACCCCTTACAAACATTGCAAACCATCACCTGTTAACCATTAAAACTATTACATAATATTTTCCATTGTGTTTTGGGCCATATATTCCATTAGGATCAAATGGTTAACATGTCACATTGTATTTTAATATTTTATTTTCACGTAGAAATTCTTTCATTTACTCCCCTAATGTACATTAAAGCATTTGCATTGCACTTAATAGTTTGTCAGAACATGAAGTTAGTCGCCAGACATGTTTTAGGGTTTCATGGCCATTAAAACATTTAAAAAAGACGTGAAAAGACCAGAGCTTGAAATAAGTACAGTAATTTAAAACATTATCATGCGTCTTACAGTAGAGCACATGCATTTAATAAATGAATGCACACTGGTCCTGGTAAAATAAATAAATAAATGTACAAAGAAAGAAAGAAAGAAAGATGCTGGGAAACAGACTGTCACTGCAATGGGCATTCACAAAGGTTTATTTTTTTTTTTTTTTAAGACGACTCACCAAGCTCACCAAGGCTATTTTGTGGAAACCGTGATACATCAAAAGAGCAGCATTTATTTGAAATATATAACATTATAAATGTCCTCTTTACTGTCACTTTTTTTAATCAATTTAACGAGTCCATGCTAAATAAAAGTATCATTATTATTTAGTTGATTTTACTTACCCCAAAACTTTTAAATGGTAGGATGAAAATCTGTCTTCAATTACTAATTCTCATGTCATTCCAAATATGCATGATTTTCTTTCTTTTGTGAAAGAAGACATCTTGAAAATGTCTAGGTGTTTTTTTTTTTTAACCATACAATGAAATTGAAAGGGGTCCAATACTGTTTGGAACCTAACTGTCTTTCATTTTCTGGACAGAAACATTCTTCAAAATATATTCTTTTGTGTTCCACAGAAGAAAGCAAGCTTTTTATTGGAGTTTTTTTTTTTTGAAGTGATGATAATAAACGTTCATCCAAAGCAAATGCTTTAAAGGGTAAGTAAGTAACGTTAAGTGAGAGAGATTCTTCCATCTCAAAATGAAAGAATGTTTGGAACGATCATTTCCAGTTAGAACGTACTTGAAAATAATTAATCAATAGGTATAACAGTTATGCTGCAGACGTGCAACGAATCTATGATAAATTTAAAAAAAAAAAGCGTGTGAAAAAAATAAAGGGCAGCAACAATCCCTTAAACCTTAACTGGGTTAAATATCACTGACTGACTACATAATACATGTTGCAAAGTTTCTGTCATTATAAGCATTGCACGCATCCCCTGTTCGACAATTACAACATTAGTATGTCCTGTTGTACTTACACTTGAGACGCTGTGAAACAAGAAATGAACAGACACCTCTTCTATTGTCGCTCTGTCTACCACTACCGTGGTGAAGCGTCACTTCACCAATTCCGAAGCAACTTTCAAGTGAAGTTCAGCACCACCTCTGCTACACCGCCCCCGCCTTCTGAGATATCACGTGACTATGCCCGCGCCACAGGGGGCACGTCACACGCGTGATTGCGTAAAAACCCGAATCCTTCGTTGAGCCTCCTTAAAGGGATAGTTCACCCCTTACAAACATTGCAAACCATCACCTGTTAACCATTAAAACTATTACATAATATTTTCCATTGTGTTTTGGGCCATATATTCCATTAGGATCAAATGGTTAACATGTCACATTGTATTTTAATATTTTATTTTCACGTAGAAATTCTTTCATTTACTCCCCTAATGTACATTAAAGCATTTGCATTGCACTTAATAGTTTGTCAGAACATGAAGTTAGTCGCCAGACATGTTTTAGGGTTTCATGGCCATTAAAACATTTAAAAAAGACGTGAAAAGACCAGAGCTTGAAATAAGTACAGTAATTTAAAACATTATCATGCGTCTTACAGTAGAGCACATGCATTTAATAAATGAATGCACACTGGTCCTGGTAAAATAAATAAATAAATGTACAAAGAAAGAAAGAAAGAAAGAAATCGTAATACCATGTGAAACCATTAGTATGGCATGTCGTTCAGGAAATGTGTATTGTGTGAATATGGATTAGTTCACTGGTTGAATGTATGGTTTAATGACAAACACACTCGTTTATAATACATTGGTATAACCAGACATACAGTATATTGGTTTAGATACATCGGTCTGATCACATGAACATGGGATTGCTCCTGTATAAGTTGGTTTGTTCAAGTAAACATTGGGCTCTTCAAATATGCAATGGTAGGTTTCCTCAACTATATATTGGTTTAGATAAATCGGTTTACACTGCTTTCTTCAAGTATACATTGGTTTGTATATACACTGAACAAAATTATAAACGCAACACTTTTGTTTTTGCCCCCATTTGTCATGAGCTGAACTCAAAGATCTAAGACTTTTTCTATGTACACATATTGTTAGTTACATTTAAAAATTAACATTTATTAGACTGAAGCAACTTAGGTTTACTTGATTATACATAATTATTTTAGAAAAATCATGTTAATATTTGAGTTTCAAATGATACATCATCATATTGCTTTGTATTATGTTTTGGTCCTCACAATAAAGACTTAAGAGTTTTGATCATAAAGTTAAGCATTATATAACATCTTACATATTATGAAATGTAGAGGGATAACTGATATTTATATGCATTTTATATAAGTAGTCTGCTGTGTTAAAAATACTTTTATTGCATTACAAACTTATCAGAAATTCATCTTTTTGACCATACAAAGTGCACAGAACTCTGTATTTTTGGGCCTCTGAATAAAGGTTTTGCTCCTCCTTCACTATCCATATTCTCACCATGTTATATTATATGAGCCATAAAACACATCTGTTACATATATGTAACGTTGGGAGAGGTGTGACAAAGCATTAGTAGATCCAAGTGCAGGCTTTATTGGAAAGAGTGGTCAAAACAGGCAGGGTCAAACAACAGTAAACAGGTAAAATCTAGGATGAGACAATAGAGTAATCCAATAAACAGGTGAAGGTCAGCGCAGGTAGCAAATAATCGGAAACAAGGAAACAGTTCAGGGTCAGAAACAAGGCAAGGCAACAAAGAACTAGGAAAACACAGAAACTTGGAAACACTACAGGCTAAACAATACTGAGTAGTGTGTGTGTGTGTGTGTGTGAGTGCATCTTATATATTGTGAGACTGATGAGGTGATGAGATACAGGTGATTGCAATGTGTGCTGAGTCCAGGTAAAGGATTATGGGGAATGTAGTCTGTGAGAGTGTGTCAAGAGTCGGGTTGGAGTGCCCTCTGGTGGAGCTCATGGGAATTCCAGCTGGTGATCGTGACTATCAAATGTAATATGCATCATAAAACACAAACCTCTCCTTAATGGGGTGGAAACTGGAGGAGCTGAAGATTTTTAAAGATTTTTTTTTTGTAATGTGTAAAGGTGCAGTAAACCGACCCATTAAAACAAATCTATAGACTATAGACTATAATTTTGTATATCAGGCTTTACAGGGATAGAAATTACGTGTTGGATCCTTAAAACCTCAAAAAGGGTGTGTGTGATTGATTTCAGCCCATGTCATCAAGAAAAATCTAACTTCAGCCAGAGTGCCAAAGTTGGCAACCATTATATTTGTTCTAAATCATTGTTAATGTACATAATGACTTCACTTTAAATGTCCCAGAAGACAAAATGAATAAAAAAAGAGAGAGAGAAATCTCTTGCATTACTTTTTAATTGTCCAGACAATGGATAATAATGAGCACAAACTTTTTTTAACCAATATACTTCACAATATTTTCTTATGTGTTCCACAAACAAAGTCATAAAGGTGTTATGTGAGGGTGAGTAAATTATTATTTTATTTATTTTAAATGGTTTATCCTTTAAAAGCCCACTTATTTTAATGACAACTGACATTCAGCTTATACAGTGTCTCTGGACATCTTCCAAATGTACCAAACTTCTCACATAATGTAAGAGCTCTGCATACTGTCTCATATGCAGGGGTGGATTTAGTGAATTGGGGGCCCCAGGCAAAATATAGGAATGGGGCCCTATACATTTGCACACATTTTCCTAGATCAACCTTGAGGTTCCATTTTGTTGTTTTCAGCATAAGCCTGTGTGCAAAGGCTGTCTAATTCTAAACTTTAAAATGCATTTATTTTTAGTTGTTTTAACTACAAATTTAAATAAAACTGAAAAAATAATGAAAAGGCAATTATACATTTACACACCTAAAATACATATATCAAGAGCATGCTCACAGATGAGAACAAAACAGCGTTGGATGAAGTGGATTAAAGCCCTGCACGGGTCTCAAATATAGGCCCTAGCCCGTCTTTTTTCCCCTTTTTTCCAAAAAAAGCTTATACTATTGTTCCAGCTATTAAAATAGTTCAGATTTGTATGTAATGGAAAAGTGATTATATTTTGTTTCTTTTTTTTAAATCTATATACAAAACAGTTCAAGTATATCACAATGTTAGTTTAAATGTTTAACCTATATAAAGGTGCGCCATATTCAATAGTTTGCGGAGAGTGGAAGCTGAAGCGTGCTCTGCAGGACACGGAGGCGCCAGTGCAATCACTTGCATTTTTTTCTAACAGTGGAAACAACTTAAAATACGCAGTCATTTTTGCTCATAAAGGTAAGAATAATACATCATTCTAAACTGTAAAGGGTCTAGTTATATCTGTGAGCACTCACAATATCAACAAAACGTTGTGCTTTTATAAAATAAAGAAAACAAACGCTTTCTGCCGTCTCGGTCTTGAACAGGAGCGCTTCACAATGATGAACCTAAACTCAGACATGATCAAAATATATAGAAAGCTTTAAATTACTACTTTAAAACGAAATCATAAATTCTAATAAAATAAACTCTTTCATTATGTAATCCCTGCATTTCTCTCTAAAGGCACATCCAATTAGGAGATGGCCAGTCATTTTATATTATAATTTCGATTATAATTTGCGTTTTATTTTATAATTCCGTACAGTTAAAAAACAAAACACTAATTATAATGGCATATATGTAAAACTTTGTCCTATAATCATATAGCTGCTTTTTCAGATTTGTATGTTGCTCTGTTCTGAATACCTTAAAATTTAAAGGATTTGCTGCAACGCAATTTTGTATGATATGTTAATTTATATTATAATTTCGATTATAATTTGCGTTTTATTTTATAATTCCGTACAGTTAAAAAACAAAACACTAATTATAATGGCATATATGTAAAACTTTGTCCTATAATCATATAGCTGCTTTTTCAGATTTGTATGTTGCTCTGTTCTGAATACCTTAAAATTTAAAGGATTTGCTGCAACACAATTTTGTATGATATGTTATTTATATTTTTTATCCATGCAGCAAATGCTTTAAAAACAGCTTTAAAATGACTTGATTGCATTCCAGACGCTTTTAAAGTACTTTTCACTATACATTTTTTTCGGGTAGCTTGAATGTAAACATTGTCATGAATTCGTTGTATTCCCATTTGTAAAATAACCAACAAATTAATTGTAGGCTAACCCGATCTCATGAAAGTGCGTATAGCACGATTTTCTGCTTCTATTTGGCGTAATATTTCTATGCAGAAATTGGCTTTGGCATGCAAAAGACTGATAAATTCATAATTAACGGCATGGGTTCAGCTCAACAGAAATACGGGACACACAGGCCTATAATAACTGCTGAAATGTTTGCGGGGCAAATCTCAGATCAGTCTGAGTGCTCATGGTACTCACAGTGCATACAGCCATACACCTGCAGGCGGCACAGACTCCGATGGTTGTCGTGGTAATAAACAGCAAATGTTTGCGTGTCCGCGCTTAACGCACATATCCTATATGAAAAGCATTTTAGGGGGCCCTTGGCTTTTGGGGGCCCAAGGCGGTCACCTACCCTTGCCTAATGGGTAAGTCCGCCCCTGCTCATATACTGATTAAATGTCCTGCTTATCCCTTTCTCACAGTCTCTTTATATTTCATAATTATTTTCATTTATGGATTTGCCCCAATACTGTTGTCACAATTCCCTCGGGGAGCAAGGAACGAGGAAACGAGGAGTACTTGAATAACACCTAATGGGTAAGTCCGCCCCTGCTCATATACTGATTAAATGTCCTGCTTATCCCTTTCTCACAGTCTCTTTATATTTCATAATTATTTTAATTTATGGATTTGCCCCAATACTGTTGTCACAATTCCCTCGGGGAGCAAGGAAACGAGGAGTACTTGAATAACACAGTCTTTAATAAATCCACAGGAAAACCGAGAACAAGGAGGACATTCAACAAATAGACCCGACAAACAAGAACTGAAAGGACTACTAGGGCTTTTAAAGGCAGGATAATTGGGGAGGAACGAGACACCTGGAATCAAATGAACAAAATCAACATGAGGAAGAAACTGGGTCACAGGGGCAAAAACACACACACAGAATGATATATTATCCTGACAACTGTTATACTTCTTAGATTTCTAATGTATTAATGTCCTATATATTATGGCCTGCATTGTATATTTAATGCTGTTCAATGTAGGAGTGACTGTTCACTAGATCAATCTTATCAATAAAATCCTATTCTGATACACATTAAATTGAGCCACCATGATATTATTTAACCAACTTGTCACAGTTGCAGGAGATGCTTGATTTATTGATTACAACTGAGTTGTAAGAAACTCTTAGGTTACTGCTTATTCGTAGGGGGAGCATCACAATGGGATGTCAGTTAAAACACCTTGAGGCAATATCCATTTACAAGTTTTATTTCACCAATGCCAGTACATGACTTCATCCACAGGTATCAGACTGGTTTCTGAAGGGTCCGTAATTTCCCAACCAGCTCCTTTGCTGTTGGGATGTCCATAACACTTTGTAGACAGTTATCAACATAAAAGGCCTTGGTGATAGACTCCTTAACATCTTCACAATCCTCTGGCAGAGCTCCTACATGTTTTTGCAAAGCATAAATCGCACAGCAAGGGCTACAGGTGGTTCCAAATGGCAAAACTTGCCATTCATAGACATCAACTGGCCTATCCTGTCTCATGCTTCGCCACAGGAAGCGCAGGAGGGATTTATCAGAAGGCAATAGACCAACTTGATGAAACATGGACTTAATATCACCACAGGACGTTCCCTAAAACGAAGGAGTACGACCAATAAGGATGACCCTAAAGTCGGACCAGGCAGCAGGTGAGCGTTCAGTGATTCTCCTTTGAACATATAGGAACAGTTAAACACTAATCGATTCTTTCCATTATGCTTAACAAGATGGTGAGGTACAAACCAAGACTCACTACTTTCAAAGGCTTCTTCATGACTCAACTTTCTCACATAACCAGACTCAACCAATTTCTGAATCTCTCCTTCATAGATAAGGGCCTGCTCCGGATTGCGTATCAGTTGGCGCTCGGTCCGTCGGAGTGATGACATAACTGCCGCTTTAGGAGCATTAAACAGGGGTGCATGTTTTGAATGAAGTAGAGGAGTGGCATATCTACTCACTCCATGAAGAATGGTTGTAGTTGGTTGATACGGCCTTAGTTTCCTCTCCGTCTGAAAATGGTCATTAGGTTTCCGCCGAACAACACAGACTTGTCCTACTATTGCTTGACAGTCTGCTTCCTCCTGCAGCCATGAAGAGAAATTCACCAAGTTATAGGGTTCTCCTGGTCGAGTAGCTCTACTATGCCGGATGTAATTAGCAACTTGTTCAGGGGGGAGTTTACTCAATAGTTTCTGTACATGAGAAGCACAGGCCAACTCTGCTGCTCCTTCACCTTCACCCCAAGACTGTAACATCCCCACCAAGGCACGAATACGAACTGCTAAGCTACTGAAAGCTTGTGAATCACCAGTTTGAACGGTTGGGAGGCTCATAGTCTCAGCAATTTCTGCTTATTCGTAGGGGGAGCATCACAATGGGATGTCAGTTAAAACACCTTGAGGCAATATCCATTTACAAGTTTTATTTCACCAATGCCAGTACATGACTTCATCCACAGGTATCAGACTGGTTTCTGAACTTAAACAAAATAAATAATTAAACAATCAAGGAATTTCAAATAAAAACAAACAGTAAACTTACATCTGTACACAGCCAAACACCATATGGAATAATCCAGAGCAGTGAACAAGGAATGAACTGACTACTGCTCAGAAGCAACCCTTCTTAAAGGCCCCTAATTGGAGCCAGAATAGGATGCAGCTGTCAACAGGGGGTGGAGCTACAATCACCATGTCATAGGTTTTCCAACAGAGTTTTATTTACTAGTGTATTCTTAATTATTATTTTTATTCATTATATTTAACTTTACATTAATTATATATAACTATTTATACTTAATTCACTTGGTGAAAATATAATTACTGAATTTTACTTGTTAAAGCACATTTATTATTTGTTCTAACACATTTATTTGTTTATTATTTATTTGTAACACATTTATTTAAAGCATAAAACAACAGAGCTGACCAAAGTGCTTCACAATTAGAAAATTACAAAACAAAGTATAATGATAACCCCATCAACACATTCAGGAGACACTTTAACAAAACAATCTAAACTGTAGTCTATATATATATTTTTAAAAAAGTGCTAAATGCCAGAATGGATATCTACAGTACTCAAGATTACCCCACTTCAAATTCAATACAGGTTTAAGCTGATACTATAGAATGTCCACTAACAAACTGAACTAACATAAAGGGGAAGATTAATAAATTATTGAATTAAATCGTTTATTAAAATAAAATAAGATCTTGTGGTGGGCAGCAGATGTCAGTGTAGGTGTGTTCAGCTCAAAGTTGCTGTGGTGATTTTGTGCAGTTGAGCTCATGGATGGATAAACCCTGTCAAACGTTTAACGTCTACAAATCATCAGCAAATCGTTCTGCTGCAGGTCTCCGTTAATGCCGTGAGCACATGTTTTATCACCTTTATTATTCAGTTGTTCTCATGCGACTGGTTTCAGCTGACTGTGCATTATGAAGTACTTTAACTAGTTAGCTTAGCAGACGTTAAACTGCTCCAGAATGATAATGTATCATGTATCCATATGCAAATACAGGTTTATTTGGTTTATGACACCGGTAAACTGTCAGATGTAAACGCTAAAGTTTTAAACACTTGTGTTTGTATGTTTTATCCTTAGGGTCGAGCTAATGCTAGCTGCCAGTGCTAATTGCTAATGCTAACTAAAGAGCTCACGAGCCGTTAAATTCATCATCTGAAAATAAACGTGTAAGTCAGTGTAGAGGTTTCATACCGTAAAACATAAAAAAATATCATTTTAATTTGCCTGTAGTCTTAAAGTTAACTCACTTCTTGAGTTTAAAGCAACAAGTTTGTGCTGATGCTAATGTTTGTGTATGCTAATGTAGTATAGTCTCAAAAAACCCCAGCATATGCTGGTTAGGTATGTTTTGACGCTGGGATGCTGGTCCTTTGCTGGTTTATGTTGGTTTTTGCCAGCACATAACCAGCAAAGGACCAGCACATGACCAGCATAAACCAGCAAAAAGCCCAGCATAAACCAGCCAAAAGACCAGCATAAACCAGTCAAAGGACCAGCTTAAACCAGCAAAAGACCCAGCTTAAACCAGCAAAAGACCCAGCTTAAACCAGCAAAAGACCCAGCTTAAACCAGCAAAAGACCCAGCTTAAACCAGCAAAAGACCCAGCTTAAACCAGCAAAAGACCCAGCTTAAACCAGCAAAAGACCCAGCTTAAACCAGCAAAAGACCCAGCTTAAACCAGCAAAAGACCCAGCTTAAACCAGCAAAAGACCCAGCTTAAACCAGCAAAAGACCCAGCTTAAACCAGCAAAAGACCCAGCTTAAACCAGCAAAAGACCCAGCTTAAACCAGCAAAAGACCCAGCTTAAACCAGCAAAAGACCCAGCTTAAACCAGCAAAAGACCCAGCTTAAACCAGCAAAAGACCCAGCTTAAACCAGCAAAAGACCCAGCTTAAACCAGCAAAAGACCCAGCTTAAACCAGCAAAAGACCCAGCTTAAACCAGCAAAAGACCCAGCTTAAACCAGCAAAAGACCCAGCTTAAACCAGCAAAAGACCCAGCTTAAACCAGCAAAAGACCCAGCTTAAACCAGCAAAAGACCAGCATCAAACCATACCTAACCATCATATGCTGTTTTTTTCAACAGTCTTCTATTAAAAATAAAATATTAGCTTAATTAATCCGTGAGTCTCAAGAACTATCTAAATATCAGTTTTTGGCGTCATACCCTTACAAAAAAGTACCGTGATTTACTATGGTGAAATTATGGTATCATGGTGAAATTATAGTATTACAAATATAATTACCATACTAGTTCTAACTGATTCCATGGTATTTACATGCTTCATCGGAAATACTCTTCTTTAGAATGTGTGGGCACATGCTGCATGTTTGGACATTGTTAGCTTGTCAAAAACACAAGATTAGTTGAAACATAGTTCTGTTTTGCAGTATGTTTAAATTTAATGTAGAGTAGGGTTGTGACGGTGACGAAATTTTCCCACCGGTTAATCGACGTGTGACAACAGCGGTAATACCAGTATCACCGTGGGGGCGGGGGCGTTCCCTCTTTTCCTCGCTTTGTCTTTGCTTTTAAATAGCTTGTAAAAGCCGCGTGCCCATTTTACTTTCACTTTCAAACAGCGGCAATTCGGCGTAAAGCAATTGTTCGTTTGAATTTTCCCTCTTTTCCTCGCTTTCCTTCGCTTTTAAATAGCTTAAAAGCGTCGTGCGCATTTTACTTTCACTTTCGAATTAGCGGCAGTTTGGCATCAATTGCTTGAATGCAACAACAAAATACAATGTCAAACTCACTTTAGTCTATATAAAACATAGAACTTTTATTAACTAAAAAATACACCATGCTATAGTGCAGGCAATGCCTAATATAAAATAACAAATAACTTACATAAAGTTTAAATAGGTATACAAAACTGGAAATAGGCTAAGTAAACATGTATAATATATAACCAAATAAATAAGAAACATAGAATATTTATTAGCAAAACGAGTAAGAAAGCTTGGAGGCACGGCATACACCTTGATGTCAAATAAAAGAAATAAATGAAACAAAGTTTAAATAAAGTACAAATCAGCAAACAATGTGGAACCAATTAAATAAGAAACAAATGTTTAAAAAAACTTCCAAAATCACCTTAGATAAACGGCAAAAGTCAACAGGCTTTTCAAAATCCAAAATATTGCCAAACAGGCGCTTTTGCAT